CATTCTGTGATTCTATGATAACTTTCTCCAACCAAATTTCTGAGTTTTAAAATAGCTCCACAGACACGCTCTAAGTCAGAAGATCTGCTCTAAAATCCTTATACTTCCGCTAGATTCAGAGGATTATTTGGTTCCTGAAGGTGGCAACCGGAGCAGAAGCGCAATTTGTTTGGTGTGTCAAATTCAGGACCAACATTACAACTGACTCACAGCCTCAGCGTTATTCTCAGCTACATCCCAGTACCAGACACGTCCAGCCAGACAGGCTGCCTGACCCTGGTGTCATATTGCTCCTTGTACGTATTCATCGGTCATCTCTCCCACATTTCCAAACAACAAATCTGAGAAAGGTTTCCATGTGCTTTAATTTCTAAAAGAGGTGGATTTTCAGGTCATAATGAGGACACACTGAAAGTCACATGCCTTTATGCTGCACAGTATTTCACTTGTCTTGATACCAATTAATTTTTTTCTTGCAAATTAATCTTCTTATTCGTCACAGAAGCAGAAGACATGGAGGAGAGTAAGAAACCTAAGTCTCAGCTGCCTTAGAAGGGCTTTGATTGGTTCGATTTCTACCTACGTTTGAAATACACACTGAAAAACCTCAGTACTGTACTACATTCAGAGTGTAACTAGTGCTTTATGGGATTCAAGTGAATCACACTACAGCATAACCAGTGCTTGTAAAACTGTGTCATCAGAGCTATGCTGACCTCATCTGCGAAGATGTGGAAAACAGAACAAAAAGAAACACACTTGTAAGTAGCTTTGGGCTATTCAGAGTGCTAACGCTTCCTTACAGCTGCACGCTTTTGCGTAACTTATCTTCACGTGGAACAATACCCTCCAACAATGCTTGTTTTTACACACGCAATATGTTTTGTGTCATACAATCCGTGAGCTCTTTGATTCACTGCTAACCTCTCTATGTCATGGCTGTAGACGATGTTTGGAAGATACTGTTTCAGCTCTACCGGAAAATATTCGGGCACATCAAACTCCTGGTAACATACGTTGGCTGCTTTCTCTAGAAATAAGAAAAGGAAACAAAAAGAAGTATCTATAATCTTAGATAGGGTCTAGAGAGGTGTAAAAATATCAAATGTGCTGCTGCAAAAGCACTAGATGCTCCACCAAGCCTCAAACCATGCCTCTGTTGGAACCTACTGCACTCTTTTTCTGAATTTACACAGGAGGTATACAACCAACCACAGGAGCTTTAATTCATCCTTACTGTGCTAAACCCGACTATCACCATGTATGTGAAAGGGCACAGCTTGCACAGCGCCAGGGGCAGCTTACAGCACCACTAAATGTTGTTAATATACGATGTTTGCTTTTACCGTTTGTAGTTCAAACTGAGCACGGACAGAATCTTACTGTGCATGTCCGTGTGTGTATAGTTTTCTCCTGAACCATACTGGGGAACTCAATCTGCGGCAGCGTGTGCTGCCTCAGCCCAGCAGTCCTTTGCCAGATATCCTTTCCCACCATCTCACATTCTGGGATGTGTGACTTTAATTCTCCATAGCAAGAGGGAAACTGGGGAGATCTGGGGGAGTCAGTGAGAGAAGCACAATGGTATTTGCTGCAGCCCAGGATTCCAGATGTCACAAAAGGCCTCAGAAATGCTTCACCTCTTAAGTGCTTATCTTGTACTAAACAGCACTATTGTACCCACAAATCACTATCTGATTGTCTGTGTTACCTCCAAAATAATTTATATCCATAAAGACAAACTTGGCCCTGGAAAATTTACCTGGCAACCTACCATGTGAGCAGTTGTTGACATACTGTCCCACTGCCAGTGGGTTTTGCAGGGCAGCTGTGAGCCAGCTCTCGTCACTCATGTGAAATGGGCCAAGTTGATCTCTCCTACTGCAAGACCTGAAATGACCGACAGCGTTAACATGAATCACTGCTCCTTCACTTAACAGGTTATCTGCACTTCCTCCTGTAGAAACAGCCACAGTCACTGGGCAGTCACAGCTGTCCAGCCCAGGGAGACAGGACAACGCTGGGGCAGGGTGCCCTGCGTGCAGACCAACACCTGGAGGACAGAAGTATCATCATCAATATAACTGATGATAAAAGTATCAGCATCAAACAGAAGTGTCAACACATCTCGTTCACCTCTAAAGATGCAAAGGTTTGTTACAGTTTCAACTTCAAACTCCTTTCATGAATTGAAACCTGGCATTAGTAGGTATTAGTATTCAAATTACGTTTTCTTTTAAAGCATTTTGCTTATTAATTTTTCTTTCATGTTGTATTTAAACACAAATTGATACAAACTGTATTTTAAGGTAAGGTAAAACAGCCCAGGCTAGGGGAAGTTGAGGTTGGACATTAGGAAAGGTTCTTCACCGTGAGGGTGGTTGGTCCCTTGCGCAGGCTCCCCAGGGCAGTGGTGACGGCACCAAGACTGTCACAGTCAAAGGAGCATCTGGATGACGCTCTTAGTCATGTGGTTTAGTTCAGGCAGCCCTGCGAGGTGCGGGGCGTTGGACTCAGTAATCCAAATGGGTCCATTAGTAGTAGCAGTAGTAGTATAAGGGTTACTGCTTCCTTCTTAACTACAGCTCATCGGTAGACCACAGCCGGAGCTACCAGGTTCACCCTTTGGGTATTAGCAAGTCCACATACAGGCTTTTTTTAATTTAATATCCACTAAGCAAATCTGAGTAACAGCTCAGAAGCACTGTGAATGTCACGATACATCCTGCTCCTGTTAAAACTATTTTCTTTACAGGAAACAGCCTCTGTACATCAAAACACATCTCACTGGTATTACAGACAAAGACCCAGTTATGCAACAGATCACACCCAGCAGCTCCTGCCCTTAAGTTTTTGCATTACAAGATACACACAGGTGGATGATACAAAAATATAACTCAATTCAGGGTAATACAACAGGGAACTGGGCCTGTTAGTACCAGTGTTTTAAATCAGCTGAGTGACAATCCCCTAGTTATTTTGAATGCTTACCTGTACACTGACCTTGATAGTCCTTTATCATTCCCATCAATAAGGACGCCATCTATGCACCTAAAAATAAAGGGATTGCCAAGGGACTGGAAAAAGATGGGCTCATGCTTTCTGTATACTGTACCTGTTGCAAGACAGATATGATTACTTCAGAAGAGAGTAAGTCAACTGTCAGAATGGGCTTTTGCTATCATCCCGTCCCCTCCACACAGAAACTCAAAGGGGGTAGGAAGGAACTCCTCCCTCAGTTAACAACATTAACACTTGCAAACCTACAGGCTTTTAGACACATCTTTGTGGGGTGCAAAAAACACCCCAAGGTGAGCTGAGATACTCCAAAGACAGAAGCCATTGAAGGAAATCATTAAAAAGAAGGCCAGTGTCCAGTATCCACGTGAGAGGTAGATAAAGCATCACAGCCCAACGGCCTTCTTCGGAAAGGAAAACATCAAGCGACATTTTTTCAGGAAAGCACAGCGGAAGGTACTATGCTGTTTTGTTACCAGTGTGGCAGGACTCTTTGTAAAGCAGACACAAAGAACCCGAAACACCCACCTCCACCACCCTGATGACAGACTTTTGTTTGGTACAGGAGAAGGAAGGTGCCAAACCAAGAACAGACAAATCATCTCAGCAGACCGTTTCCCAAATTTAACCTGCCCTGGGTTCCAAGCATGGAAAAGTGACAGCAGACCAGCCTGTAATTTTCCATGACACTGCAGTCCTGCATCCCTCATGCCCACTACAACCCCCTGCAGGAATCCTTCGCTGCAGTCTCACGAGGAACTAGGCGAAGGCCCTGCCAGCAGGCTGCACTCGCCACCAAGCAGACAGGAGAGCACTGGATCCCTTCCCCAGCCAGCAGCCCTGCAGTTTCCTTCACACCGCTGAGAAAGGAAGGCATTTCAACAGCTCATCCTCTTCTTGTGCTAGATGAGCTGCTAGAGGACACCCTCAACGAGCCTACACTCACATTTGATGCGAGCTACAAGGTCACAGGCCCGTCCTCTGGCAGTTTGACAGTCTACCAGGCCATAGGAATGGCCAGACACTCCTGCTCTGGCATGGCAAACTGCTCCGCTGCCCAGCGCTGGGACTGGTCCCGACCCTGCAACTCTGGCACAAGCTGGAGACTGCACGCAGGGGGTCATTCTGTTGGCAGACGAAACCGAAACAAACCCAAAGCATTTCAGCAGAGCTGTCCTACCTCAGCCATGCTGACAGAATTACACATCCTTTTAAGAAACGTAAGTAAATACAGTTCCAAGAGATGAGGAGGTACAGAGAAGTGCTGATTTTCCAAACATGCTTTGTGGAAGAAAGTTCTCCTAAACAAACAGTTTATTTTCATTCTCCAATTTGTACTTTTGCAGTTTGAAAAACTTTATATTCTGGTCTGCTGATATGTATGGAGATCTTGGATTTAAATTGAAAGTGGGGAGGTTTAGACTGGATATCAGGAAGAAGTTCTTCCAGGAGAGGGTGGTGAGGCACTGGGACAGGTTGCCCAGAGAAGCTGTGGATGCCCCATCCCTGGAAGTGTTCAAGGCCAGGCTGGATGTGGCTTTGAGCAACCTGGTCTAGTGGAAGGTGTCCCTGCCTATGGCAGGGGGGTTGGAACTGCATGGGCTTTAAGGTCTCTTCCAACCCAAACCAGCCTATGATTCTGTGATCTCAAAACCCCATTTTTCAGATCCTTATGCGAAACAGAAACCCTGAGGAATTAAACTGTACTGTTCATCTACTTGAAATTGCTCCCATGCATCTGTATTTAAAGAATTTGGAACAACTTTTCCAGTAGCTGAAAAAAACTCTGAGTACTGAAAGGTGGGGTTTTTTTATAAACAAAATGCCTCCTCTCCCCCCAATATTGCCTATTTCCAATGGACTTTAATATTCTTCTTCAGCGCAACTTGTGATTTTGTTAAGGAACGACAGAAATAAAACCCGTAAAATAAAAATTAGCATAGAACATCAGCACTCTGTAATTAGATGGTCAGAAACCACATCTAGCTTAGTTAGGAAAAAAGACCATTGCATTACCAGGATACATAGCTACAACCGTCCCTTTCGGTACAAAACCTTTGGTAACAAAGACTCCAGTTCCAGCAGACGCCAGGGTACTTCGGTCTCGAGTGACACTGAACCCCAGCGTATTGAACAGAACTTCGTCTGGACCAGACACGTGTTGACTCTGGTGATTACACGAATTTACTTTTGATCGCTTCTGCTCAAGAGTCAGTAATCCCAGATATTTAGTCTTGATTTCTGGAAGTAAGGCCAAAATCTGTGCTTGTCTACTGAAGTCATTTATGAACAGAGCTTTAAATATTTTCAGTAGTGTTTCAAAGACATCTTCATCTGAGATGATTTTGTCTTGGGAGCTTTCGGGAACATATCGGAGGGTCCTGTAAAGGAAAAAAAGAAAAAAAAATTAAATTACATTTTTCCTAAATAAAACAGAGCCATTTCACGGCAACAACTATTGTTTCAAACAAACCCAAACTCTAAAGAGTATTCTTTCATACCTGTGCTGCTACGAAGCCATCTTCTGCGTAATTACAGCAAGGCAAGTGGGTTAAACCCCATTGAGCCTTTAGTAACAAACACACCAAACCCCAAATATATTTGATCATCAAAGTTTATATAAATATATATATAT